AGGCAATGGGCGAAAGTTGGTCATTTGATGGTTAAGTTTGGTGATGTGTTACGTAGGGTGTGTAGGAAAGGGGTAGTTGTCCTCCCATGGACCTCCTGGCGGGATATGAAGTCCTATTCGGACAGCTGTCCTATTCCCTAACATAGAAGGTCAGAGAAGTTTACCGTTGTAAATAAAATTGAGCTGCGGAAGTTTAACAAAATAGTGTGTGCTTAAATAAAGGAGAACAAGAGAGGAGAGAAGAGTTTTCATGAGAAATCGAGTACTTTCTTTTCCCAGTGCCAGGGGGACAAACAGTCGGTACCATGGGAAAAAGGTTGCAACACGTTAAAGGAGAAACAAAAATCCCGAACTTCTGCAAACAGTTAATAGGATATATTCAAACTTTCAAGAAGGCCTTTTAAATTTTAGTCTGAGAGAATCTCCTTCAATGGAAATCTACTTTAAAAAATCAGAGCCTTCGATGTTATCAAAAATACACTTCTCTGGTTTCCCAGAAGCTTTCGTTCAGCATCTTTAAAACCGTTTCTGTTGAAAAACTTCCTTTGAAGTAATTTTCCTACTAATTTTAGCATTGAAAGACTCTCCCTTCGAAATCGTTTCACCCACCCAGGGTGTATGGTTTCGAACATGCTGTGCTTTAGAGTACTTGCTCCCTGATGTTGTTGCTGTTGCTGCCATCACTCGCTCCCAGCAGCATCGCAGCAGTAAGTGTTACATATCAACTTCTTGTTTGTTGCAATGATAGATGAGTGTTAAGTAAATGTTAAAAAAGCTACATTAAAGTAAATTAAGGATTAAGTATGGCAAATATTCTGCAAGGAAGTGGAGGGGCAGGGAGGGTGTCGTATGCCTAACCAGCTACTATCCTCCACGGGGTAGCAACAGCTGAAATGTAACCACTTGAGGAAAAAAAACGAGGAAAAATAATAATAGAACCTAGGAAGTACATAATGAACGAGACCATAAGTAGTAGCAGGAACGAACAACGAACTTTTAATGTGAATTTCTAGCTAACTCGGGAAGCTTTTGCATAAGTCAAGTGCTATGGTGCTGCGGAGGTGTGTGTGTATCTGTGTGTTTATGTTGCTACAGCACTTGTGGTGCTGATGGTGACTCTGGGGTTTTTGTTTCCTTCTTTCCTGTAATCACTTAATTAGGAAATGTCACTTTAAAGTGGAACATTTCAGTGTTTGTCAACTCCTTCCATTAGCCCGTTACACGAACTCGTTTTGGTGTTTTCTAACGTGGAAAATGGTAATGGCGAATTTTTTCCTTGATCATCATGAGGATGGAATCATGGGAGTTTTTATTATGATGTATTTGCAGTAAAGGGAGAGAAAAGAAAATGGTAATTAGGGAGAAAAATAGGTATATCACATTATGCGCAAATTTCTCCGGAGACGTACTTGAAGGTATCTTGTATGAATGTACCTTATTTGAGGTTTCTAACAGAAACCCTTAAACTAAGGGCTCTTCTGAGATCTTCTAGAAGAGATAACTTGAGGTTTTTTAGAGAATAAAAATAATCTACAAAATGTTCTAGAGAAGAAGAATTCCTTTGGTGTTTCTTATGTGGACTTCTCTTTTCAAGAAAATTATCCACATAATCATATTTAGGAAACAGCTTACTTTGCGGTGGTCTAAAAAAGAAAACCTCCATTAACATATTCTAAAAAAGAGAAGTACTTAAAATAGAAAAAATCCTTTGAGGATTCTACGATTCTATACCAAGGGGCCTTTCCACATGCTATAGAAGTTTACTTTTTTTAGATCACCTATAGGAAAAGACGATTTTTGATGCATCATAAAGGAGAAAACATCGTTTTAGGATATCCATATGTAAAAACGTCTATTGACGTAGTTTGTAAATGAAGACCTTTCTTGAGATCTTCTGCAAAAAACCACATCCATGGGATTAAGCCTAACTATTTTGCAACAACATAAAATATCCCCTATAAGGGCATCTACAGGGTTACCCATATTCGACGGACCCATGTTTTTTTTGGGCCCATTCCAATCGACGAGGCTTGTCCGCAGGCAACATTCTTTGCGTCAATTGAATTTTGTACGGGAAGAAATGCAAATCAATGCGAATAATCCGTTGTAAAGTGGTCCGAGCCATGCCCAACTGCTGAGAACGGCGTTTTTGGGATGTTATTGGGGACTTCTCAACACTGGCTCGTACGGCAGCGATATTCTCGGCCGATCACCTTGGTCGACTTTTTTATGGCCTCTTCGGATTAGAAAGAGCCTTACCAGTCGAAAATTTGTCGTATAAACGCTTAATGGTGTTCTAAGAAGGCGCACTTCTCACAGTTTTTAATGTTTTAAAAGCACGTTGAGCTTTCACAATTGACTTCTTCTGTTGAATGTAAATTTCAACTATTTCGCGTGGTGTTTATTGGTTCATGGTAAAAATCTGCTTGGACTGACGCTTCAAACGCGGTATGTCATTAAGCGATGTGACATCTCTGTCAAAAGTTATGGCGTTGCCAGATGGGTCCGTCGAATATGGACAACCCTGTATTGGAAAAGACCCCCTTCAAGGTCTTCTAAAATTGAATACCTCATTTAAATTCTTCTGTGGGACAAATCGTTCTTCAAAGTCTTTTGATAAAGAATACATCCTGTGAAACCTTCTATGGTTATGATAAACTTGTTTTTGGTATTTTCGACGTCTTCAAAGTCTTCTATAGAAGAAAACCTCCAATGACCTTCTCCATAGAAGAAGGCCCAATTGTGGTTTTGTATAGAAGGAGGCCTCCTTTCAAGTTTTCCATGGCAGAAGACTTTTTTAAAGCATTCTGCAGAAGAATAACTGCTGAGAAGAATTTCATGTAAAAGATATCCTTTGAGGCATCTTATATTAGGTCGTTTTCATCTAGGTCATTTATGGAAGAAGTACTCCTTGAGGTCTCTACTGGCGAATACTTAACTGGAGATCTTCAGTTGAAGGAAGCTTCCATTTATGTTTTGTGTAAAAAAAACGCCTTTAAGGTCTCAATTGGAGGAACATCATCTAGGAAGCTGTTCTATAAAAGAACAAGAATTTTGTGGAGTTCTCTTTAAAGGTTTTTACGAGTTTTATATTATGTTATTATTTGGGAAAACCCTAAACTTAGGTTTTTTATGAAAGAATATCTCTTTGGAGTCTCCTATTGAAGAAACATCTTTATTGAGGCTCTTCATGAAAGATGGTCTCTTTGGAGATCTTCTTCAGAATAAGGATAAATCTGTTCTATAAAAGAATAAATCTTTTGGTGATTTTTGATAATTTGTATATTTTTTTTATAAAAGAATAACTCTGTTTAAATCGCCGGTAAAAAAGTCCTTCTGAAGAGAAATCTTCATTGGGATGTTCTTTGAGTGCACCTGTGAAAAAAAGGTCCATGTAGATAATACCATATTTTAGGCCTCCTTTTGCAGAAGTCCTACCTTATATCTCCTTAAAGATAATGCATTATTGATGTTTTAGGGAACAATTCCTCTTTCGAGGTATTTGTAGAAGAGAGCCTCATTGGGGGTCTTCTAAAGAAGAAAACATGCTTTGAGTTATTTTATTCCGACACCCCTTCTGAGTTCTTCTACTGAAAATCTATGTATTTTGAGTTCTTCTATAAATGAATACAATATGCGAGGCATTTATAGGTCATCTTTTAAAGAAGAAAACGTTATATGATATCTCATATAAAGGTTTAATCGCATTTTCGGAGAAAGTCTACTTTAAGAATTTCCTTAGAGATAAGGACAATTTTGAGGTTTCTATAAAACAAGAATTTAAGTGTTTTCTTGAAGAACACCTCTTTTAAAGTCCTCTGTCGAAAAATGCTTTCTTTTGGGTTTTCCTTAGCAGAGGACCTCCCATTAGGTCTTCTACAGCAACAGACCCCCATTAGGTATCTGTAGAAAAATCCCTATTTTAGGTTTTTTTTTTTTGCAGAAAACCTCCTACACTGAGATTTCTGCTGCAGTCGAAGCATTTTTGAGAAGAAAGCCTGAAAGTCTTCCTCAGATATCTTCCATAGATGATGACTTCCCGGAAGGTATTCCTTGAAGTCTTCTTCTGATCCTACAAGATCATCTGTATAGAACGATTTAAAGTGAAGACTTCCACAGAAGAAAATCTTCTACGTCGTATTCGTTTTAAGACGTATTATATAGAAAACGATCCCCACTGAGGTCTTTATTTTTGCTTTTCTGTTGAAGAATAACTCTTTGAGCTCTTCTATACCAGGATACCTTTAACAGAGCAATATTCGGGCAACGTGTGCCGGTTTCATTGGCCGTTTGAAGGCCATAATTCGTGCCAAAGGTGACCAATTCGAACAAATCTAAACTTATTCTAAAATTTAACGCTATTTCCGACATTTTTTGATTTCATTCAATAAAATTAAAAAAAAAAGAAAATGTAAAAATTATGACTTTGTTGCAGTTTTTTTATTTCACCCTGTTTATTTGTACTTTAAAAAAAATATTAATGAAATATTATTTCTCTACTAGTCCATCAGAATTTTCTCTACTAGCCCCAGTGAGAATTTCGTTAACACTTAAAATATCATTTTCTGATAGGCAGGGTTTATAGTCATGGCAAGACGATCATTTCAATAGAATTATATTTTACGAGAAATCAAATTTTTGACTGTAAATATTCTTTATTGTGGCTCTGCTTGTCCCTCAAACAATATTCGTCAAATATCAAGGATCATTGCTCTACTAGCCTTCCAGAGTATTTCACTAAAAACCATGGGATTACAGGACGACTATTCTCTTAAAAAAATCAGTTAAAATTTTTAGAAAATTTAAATCTACTGGTAGCCTCAATAATTCTCGAAAAGTCCAGAATAGGTATTTGAAAAATTAAAGAAAATCTAAATTATATTTGGTAGGTTTTTAACTAAAAATTGCCGAATTAATTGTTGCCAGATTCTTAGATTTATTTTCATTTTTTCATTTGTTATTTTAACTTATTTTATAAATGTATTTCCCTTTGAACTTACCTGGTATATTGTTATTGGCATGGGCTGATTTGGTCAATAGCAATATTACGAAGAATACTATTGTCAGATGTAGCGAAGATTTGAGCCACGAACAGAGTGGATCAACTCTTAGCTGTGGACAACGCAGAGTTAGTGTTGATGGAGATGATACGGCTGTTGCTGCTGCTCTTGATGTTGTTGTAGTTATTAATGATGCTGGTGACGACGACGACGTAGATGATTGCGATGGCGATGCCGTTGATGCTGAGGTGATTGTAGAATTCCGTGTATTCGTTGATTTTCCATATGACGACGTCGCTGCGAACTCCGCCACAAATGGCGTCGTCGCTGTCGTCGTCACGAAAGCTGATGAGCTGGTTGCAATTGAGTCGGCTATTTGGGCCTGTGCTACAGCTGTGGCTAGCTTTCGCTGTCGCAGTGTTTTCGCTACGGTCGTCGCTGCAGGTAATGATGGCGATGGTGCAGGTGGTGGTGGTGGTAGTGGTGATGGCGGCCTTTGATATCGTATACGAGACGTTGTCACTGTGACCGGGGAACGATAATACCTTAACGTCTCCAGTATCGTTGTGGTTAGGGAACAATCTGTTAAGCGGTTTTGTAGTGATGTTGTTGCTTTTATTGTAGCAACAGCGGCAGCGGCGGAGATTCGCGTTCTCTGAGCTGATGACTTGTATCGAATTTGATAGTCGTTATGTTGCAGCTGCTGCTGTTGTTGGTTTGGTGTCGAATGTTGTTCGATATTGTTGTGGTTGTTGTTGTTGTTGTTATTGGGCGTTTTATTAGGTGTTGTAGTTCTAGTGCTGTGGTTACTGCTGCTGCTGCTATTAATGTTGTTGTCTATATTTGTGGCGAACGTTGATCGCGTTCGGCTTAATGCCTGACACCGCCGGTAAGACCCAGGGTCCGCACACATACCCATGCCTCTGGTCCCATAGCCAATGACGCTAATGGATCTTCCTCATTGCAACGGCGTCATCTGTAAGAGAAGGAAACAGAATAAAAATTTAGTCAGTTGTACTATGGGGAGTATGAGCTATATTAATTAGTAAATATTAGTCATACGCCACCTTGGTATGACAAGTATGGCCAATTTACACAGGGCCTAGATTTAGAGCCAAAATGTACTCAAGTTAATACTTCTTCAAACCCCATACTACCTCTACAAATGTTTGCAATCAAATCCATGTGTCTAAAAATGTATCCTTTTCGTATTTTATTTTTTATTTCGAAATTGACAACTACAAATCATGGCAAATCTCTTGAAATCGACAAAATAAGAGAAGAGAAACATTAAATTTCCACAAAAGCAACAAGGACTAATCATGACCCCGTAAAAGTGCTCCAGTATTTGGGGGATACTTTGTCACATCAATCTAATCAGTACATGGATAAATCTAAACCTAATACTACTAGTTCGGCTCAGGCCTTTATCAAATATACTTAGGCTTGTGAATCCCCACAAAATACCCCAAGGATTGATGTTGGTTGGTTGGTGTTGTTGTTGTTGAAAACTAAATTAGAATCCGAAAAGCAAAACAGCAACAAGAACTAAGACAAAAGAAAAACAAAAAAGAGAAATAAAAGTTTCTCCAACTAAGGTTCGATTTGTCTAACAAGAAAATTTCGGCAAAAACAAATATCGGTATTTGTTTGGCCTAAGTGTGTTGGTGTAAGTGCAGGGGTGGGGGTAAGCCGGCAGGAAAAACTTTGCCAAAAACCATTTTAACATAAAATCATTAATCATTTTCCTTCTACTATATATGTTTTCGTGTTTTCTTTCTTTCTTCTTCGTCTTCACTGCCTTCCTCCATAGTTTCGTTGCCAGGGCAATAATGATAACTACCAGCCAATACACCTTTAATATATGTGAAAACTTTACTTGTACACATATGTATGTATGTGTATATGAAACACTCGTATATGCTAGATATGTTTTCCGTTTTCGCCATTTCCCGTGGTGCATAACGACGACGACGAAACTAAAAGAAGGTAGAACAATAAAGCCCTTAGCCAAAGTTTTCTGATAAATTTCAATAACAACAGCAACAACAATAACAAGTTTTGCGGAGGATTTTATGGGATAATATGTATGTATTTGTGTGTGTGCGTGTTATACGTACGTTCCTTGAAGAAAATCTCCATTTCTTAGGAAGAAATGGAGGAAAATAATACACACGCACACACAGCAATTATAGCTTAACAAAAAATAACATTACTGATGTTGGCTTATAACACAGATAGCGAGAGATAACGGTTATCGGAGATGGCACGGAATGAGTGGGAAAACAAAAACAAACAATAATTTCTTCCACTGAGAGAAAAAGTTGTGTTCAACCTGTGAAGTTTTGTAGGGTTATAGCTTCACTTTTCCTAAAAAAAAAAAAAAAAAAAAAAAAAAAAAAAAAAAACAGAAAAAAAAAAACAAAAAAGTACAGTAATTGCGGCCCTTCTAAACCTTAAAAAGGCTAGAAATTATGATTTCTATTCCTTGTGAACTTTTGTAGAAAAATGTTCACATAGATAAATCTTGATATGCGACAGCAAATACGGCGACGTTTTTGAATATTAAGTTTTAAAATGTGAAAATTATTAAAAATTGTGTTTTTGTAATAAAATTCTATTATTTTTGAGTTGGAGTCTTCAGGTTATGGTGTGGGTTACAGCTCATGTGGAATATGAGAAAGAGATTTACTTGTCCAAATTAGCAAAAAAAAAAAAAAAAAAAAAAAAAAACGAACAGTATACTTTTAATGCCAGAATAAAAAAAATCATATATTGTATGGCAAAATTATGTGGGAAAACCGCCTTCAAAAATCAAGTCAACATTCGGGCACTTCTAGTTTGCAGGAGTGAGATAAGGCGGAATTTTGGAAAAATCGTACTTAAGCGATAATGGAAATATACAAAGGCAAAAATGTCATGGCACTGACATAGAGCGACAGGCAAAATCTAGATCTGAGAACTTTCTTAAGAAGGTTACTCTTCTTGAAGAGGAATTTTTTTTGGAAATTTGTACCCCTTGGATATGAAAAACTCTAAAAGGTAAAGGGTCAGCATTCTCAGTTAACCAACGAATTTTGAAAGAACAGAAGTTTCGTATGCAAACAACAAAGTTGTTGCCTTTGGGGCACTGAAAAGGGTAGTGGATTTTCTAAAAAAAGAATAAAAGAAAAAATGTTTGGCGGGTCTCATATTTAGGTAAGACTTCGACTAGAGTGGACGATATTGGTCCACTCATTCTTGTTCCTTCTTCCTTCAAAGGTAAAACGGCTAAATTTGAGATTTTGAGTGAGGGCTAATGTGAGTGTTTGGTAATGACTAAAGACTGGGTTTTTTAAAAAATACGAACTATAAGTGTATGGATGAAGCTGGACATGTTAGTAAGGTGGGTAGAGTTTAAATAACGAGGTTATTTTGGAAATGAGTATTAAATGTGTAAAAAATTACTAAATGGTACTACATTTGGTATAGTGTAAACTGATATGGCTTGAAATCTGAGATTTTGCATTGGGGTAACTGGTATGGTGTAGGCTTGAGATTTTCAGGTGGCGACAAAGCTGCAAACGATTTTCAAATAAAAATAAAAAAAACTTAGCAGACTTTCAACATCATTGCTTTTGAGCGGTTTTGCAAGAAGTCCACTGAGGCAGAGTTTTTGGAAATGCAAATTTCAAAGCCACTAGTTATTACTACAAAATGTTGCACTATTAAGTTGATACGTACAATTTTCTTTCATTTTAGGAGGATGAAGTTATAGACAGTCAATTTGGGCTGATATAAATCAGTTGGTGCACAATACACCTCCGATATCAGCTTTATTGTGTTACAAATGGCTAACATCAGCCCAAATGTTCTGAATTTTGACAAAGATCTCGAAAATATTTGACAGAGGTATTGTTGAGCTCCAATAGTTATCTGGTAGCAAATATCATTTTTGTGAAGTGCATATTATGCATGTGAGGGACCCCAAACCGGATGAAACAAATATATGGGAGCTATAGCTATATCTGAACCGATTTTCTCCAAAGTTGATGTAATTGTTTCCAGGATGAATTCTGTCGGAATTGCCACAATTCAGTCAATTTGTGCTGATATTAGACATTTGATGCACAATAAACCTGATATCGGATAAAGATGTATATTTGTGAGCCATATCCTAATCTGATCCGATCTGGACAAAATTGTAGGATTTAGTTCTGAGCTGTATCTGATGTCTGGTACCAAAGATCATTGTTGTGGAGTGTATATTATGCGAGACTTAAGGCTTCAAATCGTATATGTGGAAGCTGTCGCTATATGAAACGATTTTCTTGAAATTTTAAATACTTTTCTCCAGGCTGAATTTGGTCGAATGTGCGGTAATATATCCGAATATTACACATGTATGAGAGCTATATCTAGAGTTCAACCGATTCCACAATTTCAATAGAGTTCGTCCTTGGGCCAAACCAAGGATTTTTGGTCATTTTAGTCGCAATCGTAAAATAAATGCGACATGTATTTTGGTTAGTAAAATATATGGATAGTCCGACGGGCATAAATAATGGATTCAGATTTTTCATATTGCAGAATGACAAAACATATTGTACCACAATGCATTTTTCTATCTACCCGATATCCTGGCTATCAGTACCACTGTAAAGGTCAGAAGTAACATTTTAATGTATTTTTGAATTCGCTGGGATTAAAAATATTCGTTACATAAAGTAATGGTATATTTTAACCGCCAAATATTGTTCGATGACCAAACAAAATGTTGGGCATCTGCCCAGCCCTAAATACTAACGCCATGCTAAATTTCACGTCGATTGGTCTATATCTGCGAACTGTAGAGCAGCTGCAAAATCTGGATTTTTTCTGTTTTTGGTTCATTTCAATCCCTAAATATTTCGCGTTCATCTCCAAAAACAATAGAGTTATATTCTGACCTTAACCCATCATTTTCAATTTCATGAGGATCGGTCCATAATTGCGACCTGTTGCGTGATTAGAATTTAACAGATGAATGGAGATAGGAAGATGCATACATAGTTTCCTATGTCGTTAACCAATATTTCGAGGTCTCACATAATTATTGGCCCAGTCAAACTTATAATATCCCCAACACATAGTATTGTAGGTTATATAATAAATAGAGAAAGGATCTTTATATTTTTTGCAAACTTTGCAAATCCCATTATATCTCGTACCTCCTGAAGAAATGGTCAAAATTTGGAATAATTATAACTCTTATAAAATGATAAATAAGAGCCCGATTCTCCTCAAATTTAACACATTCGAAAATGTTCATTAATACAAGGTACCTCTCTCACAACGGGTCAAAATTTTGAATAGTTTTATCTATCATAAAATGACCAATACGCATCCGCCTCATACCATTCCTCGTTACCGTGATACTGGATGCGTAGCCCGACTTCAAGGAAGTGGGCGGAAGAAAACACCAACATCAGCAGAAATGGTTCGAAAAGTAAGGAAGCGATTTGATCGAAATCCACGTCTCAGTGACCGAAAAATGGCTCCTGAGCTGAACATATCGTAATATTCCATTCGGAAAATATTAAAAAATTAGCTCGTGGTAAAGCCATTGAAGGTGCAAAAAGTACAAGGAAAGAAAATAGACTCAATAGAGCTTTGCTTTGCTTGGCCGAAAGTGGTGAACTGCCGAATTTTGGTTTTCTCCGATGAGAAAACATTCGTTGTCCAGCATTTCGAAAACAAACAAAATTATCGTATTTACTTGCCAAAGAGGTCAGCTGAAAATGTGCACCTTCGGTTGGCCACCAGAACTCAAGCGCCGGCCATGGTAATGGTGTGAGCCGCCGTATTATTGCGAAAATATTCTGGAGAGTGTATTTAAGCCTTGGGCACGCAAACATTTTGGCCACAGACCATGAACATTCCAACAAGACTCAGCACCATCGCACTCAGAACGCGCCAACAAAAAATGTTACAAAATATGAGGTTCCTCGCTTCATT